ATTGCCTCCTGTCTCTCTCTTCACTCTCAAACCAAAAATAAACTAGCCTTGACAAGCTCTATAAATCAAAAGGTGCAGGTTCAGAGGGGGTGGGGGAAAGCTGCAAGAGGGTGCATTCTAAGCAGGGCTGAAACAGTGGACTAGCAGCTCCTAGCAAAACAAACGCTGGCATGAAAGATGCTCTCAAGCACCTCAGTATCCAGCGTTTTCTTCCCTACTCCCAGTAGAGGGAAAAAGTAGCAGTTAAGCAACTGGTGATGCAACAGAATAAATAGATTAAGTTAAGACTTCATTAGAAATATAGTTAGTTAAAATAAACCCATCCAGGCAGTGCCATTTCCCCAAGAACACCCTCTTCTACTTTCACAAGGGATAGGAGATTCTGTTACACTACAAGTAAAATAGAGTTATTTCATTTTACCCAGGGAGAAAATACCTTCATTTTTTTTCCTTATACATAAAGAGATTAGCAAGAGTCAGTAAATGGTAACATAATCCAGCATGCAATTTTAACTGTTAATTAAAGTCACAAACTAAGTCTAAAGAACATTTAATGGACTTTGTGTTTCCACATTTATGTTTGTAAGCTTCTATGTTGAAATTGGATCTGTTTACAGAAACAGATCTATGAAGCTTCCAAAATTGGGTCAATTTAAAATCCAGTGACAATCTCTCACTGTCCAAGCACTCAGAAGTCAGCACAGGACACACAGACACTTGTTCTAATTCATCACTGTCCAGAAACCTCAAGCAAATATATTTTTCTATCATTTCTCTTTCAAATTTGTGAGCATATCATCCTTTTTAAGAATTACAAATTCAGTACATTAATTTATGCATTAAAAATCTTAAACCATTCCTTTAAATATTAACAAAACTCTAAAAGCTGGGCATGGTGGCACACACCTGTAATCCCAGCACTCGGGAGGCTAAGGCAGGAGGATCACTGTGAGTTCAAGACCAGCCTGGACCACAGAGTGAGTTTCAGGTCAGTCTCAACTACATAGTGAGAACCTATCTCAAAAAAAAAAAAAAGAAAAAGAAAAAAAAAGATACTATCTCAAAAACATCTAACAAAACTCATATAAATATTAATGATGCTGTTTACATGTAGGCCAAACAATGACCCAGATTTTTGTAGAACACCCAAAGGAAATCTCTGCCGTATCCCAAAGTATTCTACTATTCCAATAATAATGTGTTTGTAAGGGTTGACAGTGGGGCTTTAAGAGGCTATAAATTTAAACAGTAATCACTTAGTCTTATAAAGATTTATGCTCTTCAAAAAGTATCTGGTTTCGGAAATACGCACACATACACAGATTCAAGAGTCTAATAAAACCATTTATCTACAGCGTAATATGGAGAGAAGTAAATAGTTATAAAATTAGAAGAGGATTTTGAACCATAAATTATTAAAATTTTGCTTTTTGCATCATGCAAATATATTATCTATTTTAAGAATACATATTTGTGCCTCTTTGAATACATACTGCTTTAGTGAGTATGTAAATCAGCATGATATTCCCATAAGGCAATTCCGTGTTATGTATCAAGTCTTAAAAATAGCGCTCTTAGCCAAGCATGGTGGCACATGTCTAATTCCCAACACTGAGGAAGGCTGAGGCAGGACTGCAGGTACTAGCCCAGCCCGGGCAACTTAGTGACTCAGGGAGCTCCTATGTGAAAATAAAAAACACAAAGAGCTGGGAGGTATAGCTCAGTGGAAAGGCCCTGCGTTCAATCCCCAGTTACAAAAAATATATATATAGTTTGATCAGCAATTTCATGGGGTAAACTACTATAATTAAATCATATTCTATTATTTGGAATACCATACAGCCATTAAAATTATTTCATAGAAAAATTTAATGATATGTATAGATATTATTGAGTGAATAAAAAAATAACAAAAAGCTTTCAGTGTTGTTTTTTTTGTTTTGTTTTGTTTTTAAGGCAGGGTCTTGCTATGTTCAGGCTGACCTTAAACTCACTATGTAGCCCAAGTTGGCCTCAAACTCACAGCAATCCTCCTGCCTCAGCCTCCAGAGTGCTGGGATTACAGGTGTGTGCCACTACAATTTTTTTTTTTTTGAGATAGGGTCTCACTATATAGTTTAGGCTGGCCTTGAACTCACAAGTGATCCTGCTACCTTAGTCTCCCGAGTGCCTGGGATTACAGACATGTGCCACCCTGCCCAGCTTATCGTATGATGTCTTTGTTACACTCTCACTGCAATCTTTACAAAGCCTGCAATTTAGGAGAGCTGACACCAATAGGCAGTAGTGCATACTTCTATTCAAATATCAGGACAAATAGGCTGGCTCATTTCAAATGTGAACTTTTACTACCTTCATTTACTAAATCATTTAAATTTCCACTTCCTAGATACAATTTCACACCTTTCATTAATTTTTCATTTCTTTCCCTTTTACCAAGTTCCCCTATACAAATAAAAACAGAACCCCTTCTAGTTATCTATACTTTTCTCACAGAATATCTTGGGCTGCTGATCTATGTCTCAAATATATAGTTCTATTCACAGAATCCTTCAGCTATACAATTGTGCTACAGTCAATTCTGCTCCCTAACTTTAATCATGGCAAAGAAAATGTCAAGGGACATTCAAAGCCCCCCTTTCTTTCCCATCAAGATGAGAGATAATTCGATCCCTGGTACCAAAACAACAAAAAAAAAAAAAAAAAAAAAA